TTAGTTTCATTTTTTTAAAATGTTCCTCTTTTGTCGCTTTTCCTTATTTGAAAAGGATCCATTATCAAGAATAATATAATAACCTTTTCCTTTGGAGGGAATAAAATAAATAGTAATAATAGAAATGGGTTTTAGTCGTTAATCTATGCTTGCCCCGCTGGCTTTACAATATATAGGTCTTTTGCCTCGATATATAATACACAAATAGGACCTAACTATACAGGGTGTTTCAAAATACATTATAATTTATGTGGATTTAGTAATCAAGAGCAACTAAACAGAAAAATAATATGGTATACCTGATAAAAATTCCTATTATTCAAAATTTATATCCATCGAAATATACATCTAAAACTTTCAATGTTTATAATAATAAAGCAATGCCATTTTTTCCATTTTTTTTGATAAATAGTTTTGAAACACAATGTATAGGACACGCCCTATTCTGTGCTGCAAGAGAACTTAAAGCAAACCATGCTTAATTTTCTTTATATTAATTCATAACAGATTGTCGAGGACGGGTTGGGAAGGGGGGAGGAAAGGGGATACAAATTGAAAAATGAATCTTTTAGTCTCACGCACCCCTGACCCTTTAGTAAAAGTAAATTCAACCTAAAGTATGACTGCGTCAACCTTGTTGCACCGTCTAGTCCTAATGGATGCCACCTTTATTCAACTAATGTCCGGGCGAAACAGTACAAACTGGGACCGGAAAGGTTGACCCGGCTCGGAAATTCAAATGTGCTACGGCTGCCCGTGGTCTTTTCCTCTGAAATCTCATCCTTTGTGGGTAACCCTGTATTCAAATCTAAGGAAGGTTTGGGTTAAGCATAATAAATTTAATGTTTCACAGTTAATGGTAAGTTGTTCAGACCGATTTTTATCCAAACATAAAAAAGACATTCTTAAAAACTTATATGTTGTATATACATGAAATAAATAATTTAACAGTCATGGGTAACAAATTTAAATCAATAATCGAATATCATTGATCAAAGACATTGCAAAAATACTCTATTGCTTGTTTCAAATAGAATAGTAAATTAAACCAAAAAAAACTCCAAATCTGTCACTTTTTTTAAACAAATGTATTCTTTTATTTGATCAGTGTTGCGGACTTTCAGAAGGCTTCTTCTATTCAAGTACTTTGCTTGTCTGCTTATCTGTTTGTTTTTCCGTTTGTGTCCAAACGGCTGAACCAATCGGGCTAAAATTTTGTGTCGGACCTCAAATCACCCAAAATTAGGAAAAAAAATGTATTAAATCAGCGAACTTTTTTTTGTTATTTTTATCGAGCCACAATTAAAAGTTAAAATAAAAGATGGGCGCGAAGCGCCATAAAATCCTAGTTCCCAGAAATCTAATTATAAATTTCCTATGGAATTTATTTAAATCGATCTTTATTACCATCTTTTATTAGTATTGTGTATCCACCCTTTCACATAAAGAGTTGTGAAAGGTATTTACAAATTCACGAAACCTCTTCAGGAATAGGAATATCAGAGATAAAGGGGCTGCTATACGCATTATTTCAAGTCACCCTCCATGCAAAGAGTTTAATGCCTGATTGGTATCTGTTCCCTTGAAACATTTATCTCTTTAAACGTATATGAATGTTAGTGTCATTATTATAGGTTTAAAAGTGTTTAATTCTTAAAAATAACATGCTTTCCCATGCATTACGTTTTTACTGTAGAAACCCTCATAGTTGAATGTTATTGGTTTTAGAAATAATAAACATTAATTCACGATTCATACTTGATCAGACAAACTAGAAAGGGTACCATTGTCAATCGGGCATTGCCATCTATGCATTTATAGTCACATGAAATAAAAAATAAATAAACCTGTACACGCTGGAAAACGCCCCCTCTTTTTTTTTGCTGTATAGTACTTTAATTTTCGACACTTTTTTCTCTAGAATCTAGCATCACAAAATTTACATGTTTGGAAACAGATTTAAAACCAAATTATCTTCTTATAATTTTAAAATACGTAACTTTGCTTCTAAAAAATTGAACATTTAGATTCATATAGACCTTAAACAAATAGGAAAATAAAATAAAAAATGAGGTTTATGGTTACATGGAACCAATGTAAGAAAGAATATTGAATAAATTCCTTACAGTCATCTCGATTTGATGCGTGTAAGTGATTACTCGTAAACACGTACCTAAGAACTGTCATCTTAGCTGCGTGTGTACTCCATTTTAAAGATAAGCACTCTGCTTAGCTTGAAAGTGAGTAAATTAAAGTTAGCATTTAAAAGGTAGTGCAGAGAATACGGTTAAGAACCAAATTTTTGAGCAAATGTGGAGACTAAGAGCCAAAGACATACACATCTCGATTTGAAGCCAAATCCTTCCTTATTAATTCTAGACAATAGGTGTAAAGAATAAATAATTGAAACAATATTTTTCGAATAATCTATTTTCGTCGTTATGCTTTTTGTTTCAGAAGTAACCTTTAATTATAAGTTATTGGAGTTCTGAAAAATCCGAAGCGAATCGTTTCAAATACGATGTCCATTTCTAGTACAGGATGCATTGATAAATGCACTATTCTAGTTCTGAACCTGTCACTATTTCAGAAATGCAGCTTTAAACAGATTTAAAGAAATGCATCGAAAGTGTTGATTTGTAACTAAAGAGCGGCCAATATTGAAAAACAAAAAATATTTAAAAATTCTTCATTTTTCAAGCCCAGCGTAGACTGGACACTATTGATCATAATTAAAACCAAAGATGACACAGACAAATATATTTGTCCGCCATTACTGATACTTTAATAGATTAGAAATAGAAATATCCAGGTATATACTGTGAACATTGTAAAATATCGGATATTGGAGACCACAGATATATTCAATCCTTTTGTACAGGGGNATATTACGTCTGCTTGCATTTCCCTTCCTCAGGAATCTACACTCTACAGTCAACATATTGTATTACACTCACCCAAACTAATAAATTAAGAAAAGAAATAAAATATATTCTGCTTTACAACGATACCACTAATCGAAGTGTTCAGTTTTGGCACGATCTGTGCATCGGCTAGGATATTTTATAAAATAGCCTGCATATTTGGCTAATTCATTATTACTCTATGGGCTAGTTGCACTTCAAGATACTGATAATTTTATAAATGTAACAATCTAGGTCCCGAGAGTATTCTCAATACTTGTCTCTAACTCTAATTATTCAGTTAATCCTGACTCTATCTCTAGCCAACCCTAGCTATACACGTCTGTCTAAAACAACGGTTGATTCGATACTGATTTATTAATACAGGTAAATATAGGTTGACCGGGCTAGCCGGTCAGAGTCAATTAAACACAGATAAGAAAGATCGGTAAATAGATTAGATTTCCCCAGAATTTATTACAGATAAAAGGAAAATTGTCATTATTCAAATAAGGTCGGGCTTTTTAGTAGGCTACGGCTAAACTATTGACTAAGCTATGCAAATATATCTTAAACATTAAAGAAGAAATGACCCCAGCAAAAGTGGCACAATTTGACAAGCACTTTCTTAAAACACTTTTTAACTCATTAGATTTTGGTTAGGGGAGGAATGGAGGGTGGGTAGGATTGAGGGGCAGTTAGGGAGCAGGGAGGAGGAGGCTAGGACTGGTGGGTTGGTTTGGGCTGGTAGGGGGAGGGGTTAGATTGCTGAGGTATGATTACAACAAACTTATATATTAAACTATACAGTATACACATTGTATTCAAATTGTTTAAGTTTCATGATTGTTCCATCTGAACTAATATTATTTCATTAGAATACTCTGCATTTTACATCAATACATTTTGTACTATAGACATGGAACTTGAACAGAAAAGATGCAGGGGTGGGGGGGGGGGGTTGATATGTACAAACATAAAATATAATAAAACAAGATTCTGCTTCAGCAGGTTTTTTAACTGAACATAAGCCAGGATAAAGGGAAAGGAAATGGCGCTGGTCTGGCATGAGAAAGCCAGTCGCACTGCTTTGCAGACCAGTACGTTAAACTAACACACACTCTTTTGGTACAGACACACAACATGATTACAGTCAAGGAAATTGCAGATCAATGTTGTCAGTTATAATTAAACTTGAATAACGACTATATTTCTTGTAAACTTTAATCAAGTTATATTCTTTGCATGAACATTTGGCTTATAGTGTTGACTTAAATATATAAATAATATGCTACATGTAATTTAAACTTATTTCTAAGTAAATAATTAACAATAAACAAATGTACTCTCCTAGACATGTACAAATACCGAGATTCGTATATACTGTATATACCTACAGTACACACCTTCGGTACGGTAAACTAGTACACACACTCTTTTGGTACAGACACACCCCATGACGTTTCCGCCCCCTGACAAAAGCTGAAAACTGAACTTTTTGATGAAAAATATAACAATTGATGTTTTTCAATAATCTTTTTGCCGTCATTCAGCTTTTTAAAAATTTTAATTTTATTTTCAGATCGCAAATTTTGGTTTAAAAAGAAAACATAGACTAACAGCTTATGTTTAAAATATAAATTAGAAAAGTCTTTTTCTGAAACTTTTTAACAAATTAAATTGAAATATATAGTGATAGCCAGACAACTCTGGGAAAGTTAGACTAATTTTAGACTCAAATTATGACTCTAAATAGTACAATTGAAAATATTGAGTGTGAACAGACCCATTTCAATTAATTAGTAATTTAATAAGTGTGAATTAAAACTATTTGCTTTGTAACAACCTCAAAGGCACTTAAGTATTGCTATAATGCCGACTTCCTATTCCATTATTTTCAACCTTTAGCACTGAAATAAATCGATTATTTAAAAAAAAACATCCGGGAAATCAATATTCGACCTGACTACCCAAATATAGGTTCTTCTGGGTTTTTTAAACTTGATCTAAAAAAAATAAACATATGGTCTAATTTGTCTATATTGGTACAGAAACAGATTCACGTTGAGTTGAAAATATTTTATTAGACCTTAGGTCTAATTTTGATTTTAGAATATTAATAAAATCCCTTTTTTGGTGGTACAGAGTTGGTTTGGAACTCCGGAGCTGCTCGAGGGTTGGCTACAACTGCCCATATCATCTTTTCAAGATTTCAAAGTTAGATTTTAAGGCGTAGTCTTAACCTCGAGCCTATACGTAAAAATACGCACAGTGTTCACAGGATGTTCACAAAAAATACAAACATTTAAATACATTTTAACTATTCATAAAAGCACAAATATTAATTACATTTATTTGTGATTTTTACAAAAAAGAAGTTCTAGTTTATGTAAACACCCAGCAGAGTTCCCATATACAGAAATAATTGATTCCAACCATGATCTAACATTCTTTGTTAAAAATACGTACTTTGAACTCCGTTACAATTTAATAAAAAGAAAATCAAGTTTTCCAATCTCACCTGACTCCACTATTCTTGAGCATTTTCTCTACATACAACAAAATTTGATAAAGATGTTTTAAATATCTTTAACTGTTAAGAATCTCAATATAAAATTTATTTTAAGCTTCTCCTTCACCCACACTGCAGGACAGAACACTTCAGAAACTGATATATTTTCATAATTAAGATACAAGACCCATCAAGTGAAATAATGTGTGATGTGTATTTTTGTAGTTCAAAACCTTGAATTTATCTTTAAAAATCTGTTGCTTAAATCTGAGAGTTTAACAGTTACTGAAGTGTTTTATTCTTAAGTTAAGGTAAAGGAAGCTGTAAATAGATTTAGTTTTGAAATTATTTGTAGCAAAAGACAAAATATACAAATAACTTGTTAATTTTGTTATGTGTAAGGGGACATTTGAAAACTAGATTTTCAATGAAATATTGTTAACTCTACGTCAACCATACCATCATAAAACAACACCATTTACTTATTATTTTAGATCAAGTCTAAAAACCCTGAAGACCCAATATTTGACTAGTGACTTACAATTAAAGTTGTTCCGTGATTTCTCTAAAAATTAACTACAAATCGATTTTTAAAATGTCAATGATGGCTTTTGTTGCAATTCCTGCTTTTTCAAATTTAGAAAATAAAATGGAAAAGCAAGATAAAAGTAAACTATTAGAAAATTTAAAAAAAAATGTAACAACACTATTGCAATGTGTTTTGTTCAAAGACAAGTTAACTTAAAGTATCAATAATATCTATTTATTAAAATTTTTAATTCATAATTCATTTATATAAACATTTGGTAATAGATTACAGAAGAGCATTTTTTGCTATAGTATTAAAACGCTGCCAGGGCCGTGCGTTTTGCCCCCCAACCCCTCTTAGTTATTTTAGGGATATCAGTTTATATAAAGGGACTGTTATTAAATTAATATCATGTGAACTTGGCTGTCTAGAATGTTACCGTTTATACCTTTGGATAACAGATTACTGATATACCAATGGTTTTATATCTAAAAACAGTTTTGTTTATTTGACGAAAGTCACAGAAATATTACAATATTACAACTAATATTTTTAAACACCTCGCTGGGCATTGTTTGGTTAATGTGTGAAGTAACAATCTCACATAAATATAGACTGCTCGAAAACAACTTGCGTAATAATTGCGTGACTTAAAAGTGTCATAACACTTTTTGGTCTGAGATTTGCCTATGATTTGTTTTGCCCCAGAGACCTGCGCATTTTAGAATTATAAAGCTTTTGGTTTTATTGATATTTTTTGACAATTTTAGTCCCATCGATTTTCGTGTTCAAGCTTGCAATCGTCAGATCGCTGTGAAGTCACTGTTTACTAGTTTCCCAGTTATAGTTACACAACATTTAAAAAGGACTGTAAGCGTAATTCCAAGTGAGCCTCCATGCAAAGAAGGCAATGCCTGATTGACAACGGTATCCCTTTAACGTTTGACTAATCAAGGTTTTATGACTTATTCTCATTACTCTACAAAAGTGCTTTGAATTGTTAAACACTTGTATTGCAAGCTGTTTTAAGTTTTAGAAATATCAGTATTCACTTTCTAGAATTGATAGAAAATAAATGGTTTCTTTTGAACGTTTGAAAACCATGTATAATATAAAATTTTACGTAACGCATTACCCATATCACTTGGAGTTTGTTTACGTTTGGTATCTAAAAATATTTGGGTTGGAAAAATGTTTAAGATACGTACGATCAGTCGGGCCAGTGCATGAAGATTTCGTTGTACCGGTCCCAATTTCTAAAGAACATAACTGAATTATGTTTGAAAATCCAGCTTTCTACAAGTCATTGGCAAATCAACGCTTCATGCGATTATTAAAAATCATATTATCAACCAAACCAAATAGTTAAGCCTAAGGAAAAAAAGGAAGCAAGATCAGCCCGCGTAAAATAAGTGTTCACTATGGNTGATAAGATTTATTGATTAAATGAAACGATGAATATTAAGATAATAAAATAAAATAGTAAAACTTTAAATTTCTCTTGTAGTGAAGAAAAATATAACATAATTTGACAATAGTTTTTGTTAAAAATAAGTTTAAGATATTTAAAACTATCTTCATTTTTTTATTTCAGGAACATTGTCTAGCTCCAATGAAAGCTTTCACTTTAGAAAAATTGATTCTATTCTAACTCGTCTTGTATATATGTAAAAAAAACTTATCAAATAAAAAGTAGAAAATATTGAAAAGTTCCATTTTTTACAATTTGTCACTGAAATATCTTTTTTTTTCTCCATGAAAACCAGAATTGGAACCCTGTGATATTTGTTGATTTAAAAATATTTTTAAACACAGCTTTCTCTGTCTTCATCTAGTAGAGCAGTTCTATGATGGACCCTGGAAACTGAAGGTGCAGTACACTGTAACGGTAGTCCAAGCCGTAAACCTAAAGAGTTCACGTTAAAATAAAGTAAATATAATTTCAGATTAAAATATTACACCACGATAAACTAAAGTAAATATAATTTCAGATTAAAATATTACACCACGATATACTAAAGTAAATATCATTTCAGATTAAAATATTACACCACGATAAACTAAAGTAAATATAATTTCAGTTTAAATTATTACACCACGACAAACTAAAGTAAATATAATTTCGGATTAAAATATTACACCACGACAAACTAAAGTAAATATAATTTCAGATTAAAATATTACACCACGATAAACTAAAGTAAACTGCATGTACGATTGAAATCCCATATTATTTTAATCATTACTTCTCGTACTACAAAGCTGTTGAGAAGAACAAAAATGTTTTGAATTGCTAATTTATAATCATTCAGATAAACTTGTCTTCTTTACACTCAAGGAACTATATACAGGATCGCCCAACTCAGATATACGCATATTATGTACTGTACTCCGTGGGAGGAATGTAAACAAACCCAGTGCCCTGACAGAAGTTGAAGGGAAAGGACTAAAACTCTGATGTGATATTACAGTCCAACAAAAAACAAGTTAATATATCAAGTTAGAGCGAATACATATGATTTTTGGGTTTCTGGTCAAAATGGAAAATACAATAACAATACATTCTTATTCCACCCCTTGCATTGGGCCCTTTTCCATCATAAATGATGCGTTGCCACTGATCTCCTCCCACTGCAGTACATAGATTTGACGCATCAGATATGGCGGTTCCTGGTCTTTATATTTCTTGTTTACACTATGCGTAAAACAAAAATTATAAAGGCTACGAGGTCAAAAAGTCGTAAAAGTTATTAAGTATAAATTTGACCTTGTCCTTCTGTCCAGTTCACAGTGGCATGGTTCTTAAAGGGACAGACCGGCTATGTAAGGTAGTTGAACTGAGTATGCAGTGTTGTGGAAAAATTATTTAGGATGAATTTGAGACATTTTAAAGATCTGTAAATCCCGAGTTTGAGCGTAAAGTCGACGTTCAAATCTCCTACTTTGGGGTGGATACGTTTTCAGAATTAGGTTTTTTTTCAATTATTAAATAACGAGGACATAATGTAAACAAGTTCTACAATAAACTACAGATGTCATGTATAATAGAGCTTCTTATTTTAGAGAACTCTAGAGAAGAACAAAACAGGTTTTTAAATTAAAAAAATATTTATCTAACAAATAAATTAATTTTCCCATAAATGGCCTTACATCAAAACTAGAGAACCTAAAAGGTCATATTATAAAATATTCTTGTATATAAGCCTTTGAAAGCTATTTTTATCCTTATTACCCTCCAGGTCTGTTTCCCCCTTTCAACTTCTTCCCTAGTTATTGTATAAAGTTTTCTTCCCTAGGGACTAAAAGGGTGACCTGTTCTAAACTTTATACCCCTGACATAATACAATACAAATATATAAACACAAATGTTTAACACTACTGTTGAGTGTTGACCCACCTGCCCTCCATTACATTTAAAAGAGTTACATGTCCGATTAACAACGGTATTTTTTAAATCTTTGCCTGATTAAAAATGAAGAAGAGATCGTTGTTTTTCTATCTAAAAAAATGCTTTTTTCGATCCTTCTTTGTCTCTAAATCCGCAATTTCTTTAATCTGTATGTCCATAATTAACTTTCAGATAGAAAAAAAGATATGTTCATAACCATAAAAAGTCAAACGCTTTTATGAAGTCTAAATGTGAGTTCACCATTTTTAGAACTTCAGAGTTTTTACCCAATAAACCGATTTTGTATCTTAATCTATTTATTCCAGTGATTCTTTGTTTTAACATAAAATGATGAAAAAAGCTTTTGATATTTAGAAATAGAACTTTATATTTAAAAAACTATGACAGTACTATGTAAATTGTTTTAAACTATTTATACCTTGCATTCTTTGTGGTAAATGTGAGTAGTTGTAAGAAGATATTGATTCAGATTGAGCAGGTTCATAGAGTACACCTAGAGTACAATTAAACAATAATGTACACCTAGAGTACAGTTATACAATAGTGTACACCTAGAGTACAGTTAAACAATAGTGTACACCTAGAGTACAGTTATACAAATGTCTACACCTAGAGACAACATTTAAAAAGGNGTAAACCTAGATTACAGTTTTACAATAGTCTACACCTAGAGTACAGTTATACAAAAGTGTACACCTAGAGTACAGTTAAACAATAGTGTACACCTAGAGTACAGTTATACAAATGTCTACACCTAGAGTACAGTTAAACAATAGTGTACACCTAGAGTACAGTTATACAATAGAGTACACCAAGAGTAACGACTAACACAGACTACTCTCAAGCTCTACCTGGATAGGCTAAGCAGACATAAAGTGTCCTGTTACGCCATGCTACAGTTCCATGAAAGGTTTTTGACTGGCATCTAACGGCCACTTGTTGCATGCAATACCCATTAAGGTGTTAATTTTTACAACTTTTAAAGAATTACTCCAATTTTTAACATAAAACACATATCTATGAATGTAGTATATTTGTAAAGATTTTGTATTTCATATTCAAAGGATCCTTAAATTTCCCTGAATACATATTTTCTGCTGATTGGTCAGTAATTGTACATGATAGAACACCTAGAGTACAGTTATAAAATAGTGTACACCTTTTCCTATAGTTCACCTAGAGTACAGTTATACAATAGTGTACACCATTTCCTATAGTACACCTAGAGTACAGTTATGCAATAGTGTACTCATTTCCTATAGTTCACCAAGAGTACAGTTATACAATAGTGTACATAATTTCCTATAGTACACCTAGAGTACAGTTATACAATAGTTTACACCATTTCCTTATAGTTCACCTAGAGTACAGTTATACAATAGTTTACACCATTTCCTTATATTTAACCTAGAGTACAGTTATACAATAGTTTACAACGTTTCCTATAATGCACGTAGAGTACAGTTATACAATAGTGTACACCATTTCCTATAATGCACCTAGAGTACAGTTATACAATAGTTTACACCATTTCCTATAATGCACCTAGAGTAAAGTTATTCAATAGTGTACACCATTTCCTAGTACACCTAGATTACAGTTATACAATAGTGTACACCATTTCCTATAGTTCACCTAGAGTACAGTTATACAATAGTGTACATCATTTTCTAGTACAACTGTAGTACAGCTATACAAAAGTGTACAACACTTCCTAGTACGTCTAGAGTACAAACTATTCATGTATACCTATCTAGTACACCTACAGTACAAAGAATAAATGTATACTTAATCCTAGTACACCTTTAGTACACCGATAGTGCTTCTTAAGTTCAAAGTAGTACACCTGGTGTATAGTATTTTAGTGTACCCACAGCCAATTGTACACTAGAGGTATACAATTATATAATATAATAGCTTACAAATTTATATTACATCTAGAGAACGATACATTAGTGTATACCTCTATATAGTACACCAAAGTAAATATAATTAGTGCACAGCTCTACCTAGTACACCTACAGTACATTAGTGTATGCCTCTTTATAGTACACCAAAGTAATTATAATTAGTGCATACCTATACCTAGTACACCTATATTACATTAGTGTATACCTCTATATAGTACACCAAAGTAAATAGAATTTGTGCATACCTCTACCTAGTACACCTACAGTACATTAGTGTATACCTAAATATAGTACACAAAAGTAATTATTATTAGTGCATACCTATACCTAGTACACCTACAGTACATTAGTGTATGTATACCTCTATATAGTACACCAAAGTAATTATAATTAGTGCATACCTATACCTAGTACACCTACAGTACATTAGTGTATACCTCTATATAGTACACCAAAGTAAATAGAATTTGTGCATACCTCTACCTAGTACACCTACAGTACATTAGTGTATACCTAAATATAGTACACAAAAGTAATTATTATTAGTGCATACCTATACCTAGTACACCTACAGTACATTAGTGTATACCTCTATATAGTACACCAAAGTAAATATGATTAGTGCATACCTTTACCTAGTACACCTAAAGTACATTAGTGTATACCTCTATATAGTACACCAAAGTAAATATAATTAGTGCATACCTCTACCTAGTACACCTACAGTACATTAGTGTATGCCGCAACCCATTGTACACTTAATGTTTACAAAAAACATTAGTTAAACATCTGAAACAGGTGTTTTACCTGCCCCCCCCCCCACTTAATATGGGTTTAAAACTCCAAAAAATTCAAATTCAAATAGTAAAACCTGTAATTTCTCCCCAGGCGGGTTGATCTTTGGGGTCCTCTCCGATAGGAAAACCTTAAATAACAAAAATATTGTTTAATCTACATTTAAAATTTGTAAAAAATTGCTTTCTAAAGGGCAAAAGACTTATTTTACATGTTCTATAAAAAGTGTGTAAAACCTCACTGTTAATATATGTAGATTGCAGGTCAGTCTATTTTTAAAATTACTAGAGGATTTTGTTTACTGTTTAGCTAAATGCGTATTTTTTCTCTGATTGGATAATTTAATTTGACAGAAAAATAGTGTCTTGTGTAAGAAATCTATTTGTTCTGAATATACGCAAAAATACTCAAGAGGGAGGGAATCCCCGGACGCTATGAGCCTTTAATATTTGCTAGGCAGACCGAGCCTCCACCATGTGCAGGAAGAGCCTCCGCTATGCAGTATATAAGTCTCTGATACTAAGCACAGCTTCCTTATAATTCTTGGTTTAAACATGTAATAAAGAATGTTTTCATTTTGTTTAAATGTTGGCACAGGAATTTTACTTAAGATTAATGTTGTTTATTGATTGTCATAATTTGTAACTTATCTTAACTTATAAAGTGGTTTATAAGATTTATATTTGAAAATAAAACATTTCTTACACAGATTATTTGTCGATGCCAAATTTTTTTTAATCGTAATCTGATAAAAATTTCAAAAAAAGGTAACACTTAAATCAAAGATTATAAAATATCAAATAAAATAATTTTTTCCTTTTGCGTAAAAAATGTTTCAAGTTTTATAAACTACTTTACTAGTCACTATTTATAATAATTGATTGATACTTTTGATCTGATAAACTTTTAATGGCACTTTGTCTGAAAAAATACAAACAATTCTTTCCTCAATTTCAAAACCAAGAGTTTTTAAGAAACTGTTCTGTATAGCGGAGACTCGTTTACTGTAAAGGGAGGCTCGTTTACTAAAAAGCGGAGGCTCTTAGTGCATGGTGGAGGTTCAGTCTGCCTGGCAAATATGGGAGGCTCGAGTCTGCATCGCATAGGCTCATGGCGACCAGGGGTTCCCTCCCTCGTCTCACTGACACATGATTGGATTGGAAGCTACGGAAAAGTTGTAGTCTAGGACTCACAATGATCTTCCTTTAAAATCTACCAATATTTTGTTTGCATACTGGCCAAAATATTAGGCTCTGATAATAATCTTACCTTTTTGTTTCTGATTTATTACATATTTTATGTGTTTTAAGGGATATAAAACTTTTATTTAAATTGAAATTATTTTGCGGTAAAACTTTAAAATTAAAATCAGCCAAACACCTTCTCTGAGATGAGATTTTAAAAGCTTAAACCCGAGTAAAACCCAAACTCGGGCTTAGATAGGAGTAGGACCCAAGTCAGGATTGGTTCTGAGTCCACCAATGATAGACTGTTTAGCAAGCTTTCTCTCTGTAGCAGACAGAATGCCGTCAGATCAGCTGTGATAAGGAGATGTAAAATTTCGAAAATTCAATCTTTATGTGGATACATTATTTTCATAGTATGTTTATTTTATAAAATTAATTAAATTTGACACTACAAATAATTTCGAGATTTTAAATGTACAAATATAAAAGATTTTACGAAATTCACGATCATCAGCTGCTGAGAAAAATCCAAAATAGTTGGTTTTTACTAAACTCAAGGCCATCCAAAACCTGGGTCTTGACTTGAGCTTTACTTGGGTCTAAGCAGACGCAAAGACCGGGTTTTACTCTGGTTTAAGCTTTTAAAATATTATCTCTGGGGTCAGGGGAGTAACAACAAAAATGTTAGACAGTTTATCAGTTCAGCTGTTTTGACAAACATACAGACAAGCCAAATTATGCGTGGAGGGTTACCTGCACGATCAAAAAGTTAAATTCAGACTTTTGCCCTGATTAAATTTATTTCATGGTTGGCTAAAGCAATAAAGAAGTTTGCAGTTGCAAACAAACCAAGAAAAACCAAACAGTTTAAATTCCTACAGATCGTCTCTGAAGTTTCATTCTTTGTGGGCAACCCTGTATAAAAGAACTAATACCTCTTGAAAGTACGTGCTCGTGTGATTGTGGTGTTTGTCTGTTCTGATGACCATAGTACAGGGTCTCATCCCACTCTATACAATAAAACTAAGAACTAAAGATAAAAAAGATATTTAATAAAATTAGATAAAAAACTGGACAATGGAGAAAAGAATATAAATGTTCTTAAAGGGAATGTTGATTAAATTTTAAGTGACCCTCCATTAAAATTGTTCGTGACAGATTAACAACGATAAAGAATTCTTGTTTTCCGATCTGAACATTCAAAATTTCTAATTACAATCAATCTTCAATAGTTAGTTTCGGATGTACGCAGCTAAAAATGGAAGAAAACTGACAGAATCTCTTTCCAAGATAGAAAAATGCGATATCTTCCCCATTGTTACTCAGGTATGAATTCAATTTAGCACTATTTTCCCTTTTAATGAGACAAAAACCGGTTTAAACAAACTGCTAAAAATTATTTGATATTTGTGTCTTTATATTTTTCTAAAAAAGTGTAATATATCAAAATTACTAAGAAAATAAAGTAAGTATATTTTCTAAAAATCTGAAATCCATTTTACCATGATTCCCGGCACTAAATCCTCCCTCCGGGGGTGAGGAGACAGTTTTTGTGTTCATCTTCTAGAATATCAAATATTGTCAAAAATAAGACAATGTCATATTAAGATTAAATTAAGGGTGAAACTATTTCATATTTCTGGACAAGAAAATTCTTGATTAAAATATTATGTCATGTATAAAACTTGAAATAATTGAAAACAGTTTACCTTGGAATTAATATCCTGAAAGTTTAGACCGCTATCCTCTAAAATAATAATATGTTTAAACAAACAACATCGATTTTAGATATTTCTTAATTAATATTTTATCTGTAAACATGATATGGACATGATAAAAGGTTAAAGGAACTATACGCGTAATTTCCAATTGAACCTTTATGCAAAGATGGCAATGTCTGATTGGCCACGGTACTCTTGAAACAATAATTTGATTAAAAATGTCGAAGATAACGTCGTTTTTCTGACTCGAAAAGTGATAATTTCTGTGAGTTTCCCCATTGCTTCTTATAACCAAGGAATGTACAAGTCACGTAGATAACCCATAAATGAAATGAACATTCTAAAAAAACAAAAACATTGATATTTAATTCCTACTTGTTCAGACAAAGTTTTCAAGTGTAACGTTGCAAATTGGGCCTTGCCAACTTGCATGGAGGGTTACTTGAAATTACGCTTACAGTCCTTTGAACCCTATTCGGCCAGGGGGGGGGGGGCGATTTGACACCCCCTATTGTTTTTTTGCTATAACTCAAAAAATATTTCCGCAAGGGAGCTAAAATTTTCTGGCTTTTCTAACTTACCCATGCTCTTCACTTAAGTCTTTGCGCGATTTTTGTTTGCACAATTTTTTTGCTTAATTACTTGATTTCGTAATAAATACTTGGTTTTTTGCAAATTTGCCATTTTTTTGCAGATTATTGAAATAGAGCCCAAGGGCTTTCCAAAAATGTATCAAATGTTATAGATTTGTAGGGGAGCTATTTGACCCCCCCCCCCCCAGGCAGCCAGGCAGTAAACCAGACGTCAGACTAAATAGGGTTAACTGTTCTCTCTCTTCAATATAAGAAAGTAAAATAGATATTTAACGGCTTTAAAAGGAATTGGATAATTATCATATCTTTATAGTTTTTGGGTCGATAGCGAGGTTTATAAATTAGGTCCCTACTTTGTAGGACATATATCAGAATATTATCCATGCAAAACTATATCTCATGTGGATAATTCAAATGTTGGATAATTACATTTATAGATTATTATAAAGCCTTAGAGAGAAAGCAAAGGCAAAGAACATTCTTTTTAAAATTTGAAATTGGCAAAATATTCAAAAATATTTAGATGATACTTAAAATTATATTTTTAACTAAATTTACCTGGCGTGTCCTTAATAATATCTGGACTTCGTTGAATTCCAAAATCCTGTAAAAAAACTCTTTGAAAAAGAAAAGTAATATTGTTAGCATCATGTATTGTCCATATTTAAAGAAACGTTTAAATGTATGTCTGCATCCAATTTTAGGAAATAAAAAGGATCGAAAACTAAAAGGTAAATTTTAAAGAAACAATTTTTGAGATTTACCTGAATTTGGTGATCCCTTCTTTCAGCAGATCCCTGAAAATATATTTGTTTAGAAGCAAGCTGAATGCAAATGACGTCAAATATGGCCCGTACTAGAAATTTGAAATGTTCATTTCAAATTTGCAATATTTGAAATATAGTGCAAAATTGTATCCGTGGCTTAGTAACTTGTCTGCAAAATTCCCGATTTGTTTTGTTGCACGGCAAAAAAAAGTTTCAGCAGGAAATCTAATTATTTTTATTTTCTCTGCTGTTAAAGATATCAGAAGAATAATTCAAAGAAACTGAGTTTTGCCACAAACTCAATTTTTCTAACTCCTCTATCTTTGCCACCTGATGTTTTTTATATTTCAACCTTAGATTATTTGATTTAAGAGAATTTAAAGGTTGAAAAAATAAAGGTGTACGGAGTACGGACATCTTATTATATATATATATATAGATTAGAATCTTGCATAGCAATAGTTGTGCATTTTTTCGAGAGCTAGTATTTTTATAAGATTATTTAAGGGTTCTATTATTTTTTTACACTTATTTCTTTCTAAATTTAATTTTTTTTTAATTATTGGGTACAAATCATACAAAAAATCTATTTTAATTATTCTTGTCATCATTTTTTCCTCCTTTATTCTCCATTATTGTTGGACACTCTGTATGTTATTGTAGTATTTAAGAAGTATAAGTTCTCAAACCCCCAAACAGTAGTTAAACCTTCTCATAAAATATATATTATCTGAAACAGATAAAAGTTGGGAAACAAGAAAAGAGAGAGAAAATAAAAGTGATTTTCTTTTCGCAAACAAATAATACACTTGTAATTTGAGTTTTGATACAAATATTTAACAAAAACTTCTTTTTTGTGAAAAACTATACTTTGTACGTGAATCTGTAGCAAAAGTTGATTTTTGCATCGACGAACCTGGCCAGGGCGCCAGTTCGGGAAACGATAGTTTTTTTGTGATAATTAAACTTAATTTCCCATCAACGACAGCATCGTTAGCAAAATTCACTAACCTCCTTTTTTTACTTTTTTAAACATCACATTTTTACTCTTACAAAGGTGGACATGTTTTTATTTCTGTTATTTTTTTCACGACCTAAATTGGACCTTTTTCTTTAGCTTTTTAGTCTATTTCAGACCAGAGAAAATACAATTGTAGACCGTAGATTAGCTAAATAAAGACCATAAAAAAAGACAAAAATTACGAAACCTCTCATAATTTTTTTGGACGTTAAAGCCATTCTATAAAGAAAGATAAATAGAGCAAAACACTTTGGAATGAACAGTTTCAATTAGAAATGTCGATTGATTTATGCTTTTTTTATAAATCAGCCAACCGGCTAACGGGGTTTGTGCATGTAGTTGAGACCTAAAGTGGGAACAAACAAAAATTTAAAAACGTCCTTACGGTTGCAATCCGACGATTTAATATCGGAGAAATCAATAAAAAAATTTAGAATAACATGTTACACCTGTTTTTCTTGAATATTTTATGCTAAATTTGAATTTCTAAATGAATTTTGAAAAAAAAAAATTTTTGATGGTTTTTGAATTTGAATCCAGCATAAAATTTTCAAGAAAATTATGTATAACATAAAAATTATTTGAAATTTTTATTTTGGAGGCTTATGTACTCAGTAGGGATTTCTCCAACATCAAATCGTCGAATCGAAATTCCGAATGAACGATTTTGAAGTTTGTTTTAATCGCATTATACATAATGTACAAATACCCTGCGGGCGGTTGGCTCAGCTCCAATATTAATGATGCCTAGTGCCCAGCCCTTATCTTCTGACATACCTTTTGAGCAGTGCGACTGTTAGCCTGAGACCTTCTATACGCAGATATAAGGAACATTGATATCACCAAGATTAGGATTGTTACAGTTAGAGATACAAAGACCACGCTTAGATTCGGTACCTGGAGTCAAACATAATAATAATATTAACTTTTAAATTCAAACAATATTCTCATTTTATTTAATGATGAACTAGCTTATGGGAACCTGCAGCTTTGATTAAAATTATGTTCTAATCACACAAACAGACGAGCAAATAACAAAAACAGATTTGATGGTTCCTGCAGGGTAAACCTTCCTTGGTTTTTTATTTTACATTATATTGATAAAAAGGGTAAAATCTATAATTTTGTCATATTCAAGGCTCATGCATTACTTTCTTTTTGCTTATTTTTAATACTTACATGTTCAAACTGAAATTCCACGGGAGGCTCTAAAACTGAAAATAATAAAAATTATAAATATATAGTAATGTCAAACTTGATTAATTTTGTTAACAAGACAAAAAACTGTACTCGCATTAAACAATGCCAAATTAAATATAAACTATTTCAAATAAAATTTTTAAAAAAATTATAAAAAGTTCAGTAAATGCGGAAGGAAATTTAGATTTTTTATCTTTGGAAACTGATGCCGCCGTAACCCTTGGATATTGCAATATATGAATTCTATTCTATTACATACAAATATCGAGGATTTACACCATTGCAAATATATATAAGTTAGCAAAGAAAATAAATTCTAAATTAAAGGATGTAATCAAATCTTAAATTTTTACAAACATACCTTTATTTGCGTAATCCTTATCCAATGTATACCCGTCCAGTTTAACAACCTGACTTCTCCCTAACAGAGAAAAAAATATTTTAATTTTAAAAATGTTTTTTGCTAAAATTCTGTTATTTCTCTGCAATGTTTTCAAAGTTTGTTGCAGAAACATGCAAAATTTAGATTGTTATTTCAGTTTTCAGACAGCGGGGCGGGGCGCTGACAACATCTGGGAAAAGAATTAGTTTTAAAATCAATTATAGGAACTGTCTGTGAAAATTTTAACATATTGACGTCTAGCTAGAGCCTCTGCACAAAACTTACTTGTGATAGCATTTCAGACATCTATGGAAAGCCCTTGGAGTTTGCTTCAAAAATATAAAAATTTGCAAAATTTCAAATTGTATTTCGAAATTCACGTAGAAAGCAATAAACTTATACATAAAATAAGGCATTCAGGCATTATTCTTGATGAATCAGTCAGAAGGTACAAAAATTCAGTTTTCGGCTTGAAGTGAAGGGCTTGAAGGAACTGGTGTAATTTCAAGTTATCTTACATTTAAAAACAACGTTACGCATGTAATCTTTATTAAGTCCATAATGTGGAATTTGATAATGTGATAATTTCCCTTTTGTAGAGAAACCACAATTGAAAAAATTTGAAAATGATCTACAAGAAAATCTAAATTAATACTATAAGAAAAAGCTTTATTGGGTATCGTTAAGTGAATCCGACATGCCCCGCTCTATAAATGAAGTGTCGCTTGAAATTACATTACATGACGCTTTTAGTTAGTCATAAAAGTCAACAAAGGAATTGAGTCTTTGTAACAAACTCTGATTTTCTAATACCTATATTTTTTCCACCTGATGGTGTATACCTTTAATATTTCAAGCTTAAATTTTTTATCTATCAGAATTCATAGTTTGAAGGTCTACGGCATTGGACTACAAAGATGTAGAGATTAGAAAATCATAGTTTGTGACAGACACAGACTCAATTCCTTTGAGTAGCGTGAAAGTGAGATCAATGCTTATCTTATTAGGCCCAACAAAAGTTCTTCAAAGAGGGGTCACTTGAAATACCGTCATTAGTCCCTTTAGCCATGTTTGTAAAGATCTTCGAATGAGGGTATTGTATGTATATACAATCCCAAGTTAATCCAACTAATCTATAGAGCTAAAAACTTTACTCTTAATTAATCCTTACCTTTACTGTTGGAAGAATACACAACCAACTGTAATTGGCTTCCTGATTAAACAATCCTCAGAGTTTATATTCTCAAAACTTTTCCCGCAAAGCGAAAATGGTGCAAAACAATTTTTTTACTTCAAAACTGGAAATTTGGTTTTTCAAAATAATTACTTTTAGAGGTCTAAACTTTTGGTAAACTGGCGCTAATCCACCACCCGTGAATAATTAATAACTGGTTGGCCTTAGAAATATTTACAGAGGGACCAAACTACACAATATATGGATTAGCAAATGGATAAGCGACCTCTAAAGTTAATTAAAATTCAAAAGGTGTAACCTCAGGAACAACATTTGATTAAATATGGCCTTTAATTGTCTCCATATCCTAACATCAAGAGTTGTCGAAAGTAAATCAACGAAAAAGTTTTCCGATTGTTGCACTCCGCAAGGCTAGAGAGCAAATTGATTAATCTTGTTTAAGCTTCTAAAGTCTAATCTTCTCTCTGGGTAAAGTTGGAAGGAAAAGGAAGGTATCATTATTATAAAATAGAAAGAACTGACTTGAAGATGTTTATTGGAAAATTCCCATTTTTCTGAGATCTTGATTTGACGTTTACAGGACATAAAAGGAACCGGAATGTACGACAAGGGATATAAGGAGGCAATTATTTGAGATTTTACTGGAACATATTTGATTAGGAGCTCCGTAGATCTCAATAAAATACAACGGAACTGATTACTCGAATCTAAGTCTTTTTTTTATATTTTTGACAATTTTAGGAGTAAATAAAGAAGGGAACTCAGTGTTTACCCAAACCATATTGTTTTGCAACCCAATGCCGTAGAACTTTGATACTTTAGAAGCTATGAATTCTGTGAGATTAAATAGTCTAAGTTTATAATATCAAAGGTTTGCATCAGGTTGCAAAATTATAGGGATTAGAAAATTTGAATTTGGGACAGTAACTCAATTCAGTTTTGCTAAACTCTGATAATACGTCCCAACAAACATGGGAATTCAGTGACAAATTCGATATCGTCTTTTTAAATATTTCTTTGATCTAGTATAGTGATACCTACTGAGAAAGCTGTAATCTGTAAGATTTTCGTCTGCTAAGTTTACAATTTGTTTGTTTATGCTTTGACTGCATACGGTTGTACTTAGTAAAACAAGAAAATTGCAGTATACAAACAGAGTAAACTTGTCCGTCTTCATTGTTCATCTTTCAGAGACATTATAGACACATCTTTACAACCATTTACCGTTTTCATAAAATAAACTCTAGCAGACATAATAATGATATGACTTTTTGGATTAGGTATTGCAATGCTAACTTATAACAAAGACGATATCGAATTCGTCACTGAATTCCCATGTTTATTGGGACACTCTGCATATATATATATATATATATTGTATTGTACTCTCCCTCTTAAATTAATCAATTAAAAGTTTTGGTTGAGATTAGAAAAATACTGAAGAGTTTGATTTAAAATATTTAACTTTCTTACGTTTTTGCGGAACCTTTTTAGCGCTCCAACACCTTGAATATAGGGGGGGGGCTAGAAAGTACACCCATAGGATCAAATTTAAGGTGAAATAAGTGCAATTTTAATATGAAAGAGGCCCTCGCGAAATAAATAAATGCAAAATTTCGCGCGAAAAAATGTGCGCACTACAAAAGCAAAACTTTTTAAGCGAAAGTTTTGTTCACTGGAAACCCTGATTATAAGCCTTGACCGAAGCTCAAAGATATTGATGATAACTTTCATAAATATCTGTAACAGAGGCATGTAGTTGTGATTCTAAATTCTTTAATGATACATTGAGAGCCTTTTAGTAAAAGGTGAGAACCCCCTTTAATGGCGGATTCTAAGAGATAAATACTGACAATTTCCTGGTGAAAGATTAGTTCCATGGAGGGTGACTAAACCCAACCGTTCTCCAGTACCTAAACATCGTACATTAAATGGATTGTTCATATTGTAGCAGGAAAATGATGTTTTGATCTTTCCTGCGTCTGTAAATAGCATTTTGTTTGTCATTATTTTTACCCTTCGTTCGCAATCAACCCCATTTTGCCTCCCCCCCCCC